TTAGTCAGATCATTTAAAAGAATATGTTGCACTCTGACTTGAATTCAAATTGCAAAACAAGGACAGTTTCATGTGATTACAATAATTAAATCCCTTTTTATAGAGCGCCTGGTGTTTATGAGCAGTTTTAACTAATAGGTTGAGTGGTGCAGTCAAGCACAAAAGCAGTCTAACGATACGGTTCACGAACACGGCGCTGCAGCGCAGAATCCCAGGGTCATGTGTAGGTGTGAGCTGTGAGCAGAGTGAGAGAGTTCGTGTGCAGCCAAAGCCTACGCAGTGCTGATCAGACAGGGATCATCTGCTAAGTCTGGAAATCTATAACCCAGTCCTTTGTCGCTGAGGAGAAATTCAGATAACTCTAACCAGAAACAAAGTGAACCTTCACGGTTCACTGCTGCATGTGTCAGCGTTAAATAAATCACATAATAAATCTGAAAGCCTGGAGGTGATTCACTGGTGATTATTTTCACAAGATGTTTGTGCAAAGCATCACCTACAACGCTTGTGCATCAAGACAACGATCCATTGTAAACGGAAAAAAGGAAGTAGCCATGCATAAAAACAATTACTTTACTATCTTAATTGGGTTCCAAAACAAATACTTCCTGTCACCTTTCCAATTAAAACATAGCTGGGAGCCATGGTGGATGTGTTTTTAAATGGGCCCCGCAGCATTGCTTATTTAAGACCCTGGATCCTGCCTCTACAAGTTAATGACCAATGTTTTTTTTGAAAAAGGCAGCGGAGTCAAAGCAGCCAAATAAAAACACACAGACAGCAAATAGCAGAGCCGGGCTGTATTTTATGTGACAGATGAGCACCCAACTGCAAAAATTTACATTTTACCATCTAGTAATCCAAAATAATACAACAGCAAATGGGTAATGTTTGCAGGATCTTTTCAGTTAGCCTAATTGCACAGAATTCCCTTTCCATGTCTGTCTCATGACTTTTTGCAATCCATTTGGCTTATAGGTGGTGAAGTGTGAAGTGTTTTACAAATGAGGGCTTTTCTGGGAGAGTCACGTCTCCTTTGACTCTCCCTTATGTACCCCAGAGAAGTTCAGGAAGAGCAGCCATCCTTTGGTTTTGATGGAAGGCGAGGAGGAGCTGCAAGATAAGACGAGGAGGAGGAAAATCTCTTCAGCTAGAGCCCTCCATTCTCCTCTTTCTGTCTGTGTCTGTCTGCTTTGCTCTGCCTGTCTCATTTACTCTCGGCATGTGCCCTGCTGCTCTGTCATCCTCGGGGATGCATCTGAAGGAGACCATCTGTTGATCCATTTGTCTCCTGCTTTGCTTCCTGCACCACAACCCTTTTGCTATCGACAATCAGGCCTGGCCTTCTCCCCTGCCCACCCTCTTTGTTAGTACCAACAGACCCTGAGGGCAAGGGTGCTCTGCTGTTTGGGGTTGTGCTTACATTTTCTCAATGAGTAAATGCTATGAAGATTTTTCTGCTGGTTTTACACGTGTTGTATATTTTTGAGACGTATCTCAAGTAAGGGGAGAGTGGTTAAACACATCCAACACAGCATGCTGTACTTTATCCACAATTATAATCACTATTTTATCCCAAATTAGCATTTTAAAATAAATCTAAACTCATAATGTCAATCAATAAGCTGCTAAAATGGACATGTCTCCATAAAGCTGGGTTCTCATGGTGAGGTCAACAGAATTTTTGGTCAGGAAGAATGCATGATCGCCCGTGAGCATGAGTCTGTGGTCATTTAAAGCCCAGTTTACACAGCAGTCATGCCAAGTTTGAACCAGATTGTCCTGTCCCGACAATCTTAAGGTGGTGCACGATTACCGTAACGACTTTAAGGATTATCTCATCAGATTTTCCTACCGTGTGTTATGGGTGCTCTGGTTTGCTCTGGAGGACTCTGAACTTGGGCTGCACAGTGGCGCAGTGGTTAGAGCTTTTGCCTTGTAGCAAGAAGGTCCTGGGTTCGCTTCCCGGCCTGGGATCTTTCTGCATGGAGTTTGCATGTTCTCCCTGTGCATGTGTGGGTTCTCTCCGGGTACTCCGGCTTCCTCCCACAGTCCAAAAACATGACTGTTAGGTTGATTGGTCTGTTCAAATTGTCCTTGTGTGTGTGTGTGTGTGTGTGTGTGTGTGTGTGTGTGTGTGTGTGTGTGTGTGTGTGTGTGTGTGTGTGTGTGTGTGTGCATGATTGTTTGTCCTGTGTGTCTCTGTGTTGCCCTGCAATGGACTGGCTCTCTGTCCAGGATGTACCCTGCCTGATTGCCCATTGACCGCTGGAGATAGGCACCAGCCGCCCCCCGCGACCCTGCGTGGACAAAGCGGGTTCAGAAAATGGATGGATGGATGGACTCTGAACTGCTGCACTCATAAATCAGAGTTTTTAAACTTGTTCGACTGTCTTGGTCTGATTTTGAATAAGTGTAGTCAGTTAGAAAGGGCGGTGATGGAAGCACACTGTACACTTCTCTGCCATGTTTGTTTACTTCGAAGTCACATGCATTGTGCATGAATGAAGGTGGTTTGTGTGTAGTGTGTGGTTTTTGCAGAGTTGCCGCACACCGCACACTGAAAGACCAAAACCGGCAAATCCGTGATTTTTTAACCCACGTGTGTGTGATCGCTCAAGCTTTTAAAATCATCTGACATTTGAAAAAGCCCGCTGTGTGAACCAGGCTTAGTGTGTCAGACTTGCCAACAGCTGACGTAGCTCTTTCATGACTAAAGTCAACCTGTGATAAACATCAAGCAGTGTCAGAGATTTTCAGGAAGCATCTTTCAGTGTGATTGCTGCAGTGCTGCTGCATATCTGGCCCCCTTTCCTCAGCATCTACCCTCATAATAAGATCTCTGGCTTCATGGTTGGAGCTCCATGAGATGTTTTGGGTTTGGCTGCAACAAGACAAACTTCACAAACAAATGAATATGTGGATTTTTGTTTTTCATTTTGATGCTAATGAAGTTTAGCCTAAAAACGTAGACCAACCGTAGCAGTAACAAGAGATGTTGTTCTGCAGGTCGGTCTAGCCACACTCTCCAGCAGGTCTACTATTGGCTCGATCAGCTTTGTGTCTTCCTAATCACAGCGCTCTACGCTTTTTGGACAGGGTGTGCAACAGAGTTGTGACGGAGCAGAACTACAAAGATGGCGTTGGTTCATTTCTCCTTATCAGCTCGTTTTGCTGAAAATTTAAGTAAAACTTATCCAGCTCACTTGAAAACACAGTGATGAGTCCATTATATTGTGGGATCTTCCACTCTTCCTCCTAAAGGCATCAGTGGGCATGGTGTGTCTTCTATTTCTTTCCACAGAAACGTCATAGTATAAAGGTTTTTCCTCAGACAGAGATGCTCAGCTATCTTGGTGTCTTGAACTGGAGTGATGATGGAGTGAGAGATGGATCAACAGATCAGAGCTTAATAGTTGCTCCAGTTTGTCTTGGTGAAGAAGAGACTGAGCTGAAGGGTAAAACTCTCACTTTACTGGTCAGTCTAGTTCCAATACTCAAGAATGGTCATGAGACTTGGATCAGGGTCGAAAGAACAACATTCTGGGTATAAGCTGCTGAAATGAGCTCCTCCACTCCAGAGTGGCTACACTGTGTCTGTGAGAGAAAGTGATGAGCACCATCATCCAGGGGAAGTCTGGAGTAGACACGCTTCCCCTCATTTAAAGGAGGCAGACGAGATAGTTCAAGCGTCTGATTCAGTTGCCTCCTGACCTAGAGGTTTTCTGGGCATGACACGCTGGAAGAAGACTCCAGGGTGGATCCAGAACTAACCTGGGAATGACTAGGAGTCACCCAGGAAGAGCTGGAGAAACCTACTTCCTGAGTTTCCCTTGGAAATGTGTTACCTCCACAATTTAACCTTGGATAAGAGAATGAATGAATGGGTGGATGGATGGATGGATGGATGGATGGATGGATGGATGGATGGATGGATGGATGGATGGATGGATGGATGGATGGATGCCTTAAATACAAATTCATTCTGCAAAAATAAACTTTTAAATCTCAAGTAAGCAGCGCTGTCGATACAGGCTCACAGATTAAAACGTTCCTCTGTCCCTTCTGGATTGCTGCTAACTGTTTGACTTCCCCTACAGACTTAAAAACAGAGTTCATTATTACATGAAGGCGTGGAGCATGAAATAGATATTAGCAGCAGTGTTGGGATGCTGAAGGACCATCACTGGAGGCCTTTAAACATCCACCATCAACACATTTATTGCTTGTGAAAGAGAATTGGGTGTTGGTTTCCACACGTCTCCGAGCTGTCACCTCACATGCATGCTTGGGGATTTGATGGACACCGAGTCCACCAAAGGGACTTCAGGGATTGCTTGCCTTTGATCTTCTCCCGAGACTCTCGATTACCCATCATTCAGCAGGGCTTAGGCCCTGGAGACCAGACTGGTGAGGGTGGCATGTTAACATGAGCACTGATGTACCCAAGAGACTCAGATTTATTTTTTCCATCTCAGACCTCATATTGTAGACTACACTGACACAGGAGGGGAACAGAACAGTGTGTGTTATGAAAGTTTGGGCTGAAAATGTCAGATGAGTGTAAGAGAGATTTGAAATATGTCAAAGGAAGATTTTGAAAATGATTTGAACCCTTATTATCACTTCTTTTTATTTCTTGCTCAGTCCAAAGGCTTTCCACAGATGAGCAAGGTTTTCATCAGAAATGCTCGATAATGCCTGATGCGCCATCATTTATGGCTGGTGCTCACCGGGGGAGACATGACATTGATTTTCCATAAGGTGCAGATGACATGTGGTCTATTTTACCAACAGCCGTGTCATGTAATAAGTCATGATTTGACTGCAGCTGTCACCTTGCGCGATGGTTTTTATCATGAAACGAAGATGGGGTTAGACGCTGCGGATAACCTTTGGTGGTTTTTATTGTTAACTCAAATCCCTTTTTCTGTGTAACAGTGAGATTCATGGGCTTTCACAGTTTTAGTTCTTATTCTTTTCATGTTTTTGTGTTGCAGGCTTCCTCAGTACAGGGGACCAGGCTGCTAAAGGGAACTATGGGCTCTTGGACCAGATCCAGGCCTTAAGGTGGATTAGCGAGAACATTGGTTTCTTCGGAGGAGATTCCAACCGCATCACGGTGTTCGGTTCTGGGATCGGGGCTTCCTGTGTTAGCCTGCTCACCCTCTCCCACCACTCTGAAGGTACAGCACCAACGGGGGAAAGGCTGCTCACAACTGCTGCTTGATAGCATAGGCAACAGCGTCGTGGAGGTTTAAGTACAGACATTTACTCTTACATGACATCAAATGTAATTATATCAAAAACATTCTGATTTCAAACACATTTGAAGCTTCACATGCAATGTTGACTTACTTTCCACCTTTAATGTGAGAAATAATAATGTGATTGTGGGTAAGGATCAACAAAAAGTTATATTTAGGCCCACACACAGTGTTGTTTTTCTCTCCTCTACCCTGATGCCACCTCACAATGGTTTAAGGCTCTTGTTGGTGATGACTTTAATACTTAGTGCAGCATTCATGCTTGTCTTAGAAATGCAATAAACCTTCCTCATATACCCCTCTAATGCATCATCGAATTAAGACAGATTTTCTACTTTCTACTCAGGTAAGTTCCTGCAAGAAGCACTTTAGCTCTTACAAATGAACCTGCTGTGCTGGCGTTGAGCTCCATCTTTGGATATTAGACTCCAGCTGTGGTGCTGTGCAGCCAAATGGTCACTGCTTCATTTTGAACCTGAGATGATTAGTCAGGATTTCATCTATCAGTCTGATCTCTGTCTGGGGTGTTCTGCGTTTGTTTGATGGCGCTGTACTGTGGACACGGAGATGTTGTTGTTTGGCAGCACAAGAGTTTTTTCAGATGGGAAAGAGCTCCAGGTTCAGTTGTTGTTTGGAAAGCCTTCTTGTTATTGGACTGACTGCTTTGAAAACACCTGGTTAATAATATGACAGTGAGATCTGATTGTACACATCAAGGAAGTATATTAAAACACAGAGATGACGTCATTTACCTTGAAACCAAGGTGTGTGTGTTAGGTAATTTGATTTTATCCCATATTACCTTAAAGGACGACACACCCTTTGATAGAGAGAGAGAGTAAATTGATTATTTGTAATGTCCATGTGCATGACTCAACCAGCCCCCATGTCCATGTGTGTGGCTCAACCAGCCCCCACTCTGCTCCAGCCTCAGCCTTTCTCTGTATACCTGCATTCTTCAGTTATCTGGTAGATAATATTTAACCTCCATAACCCTGGAACCTGAAATAAACACACATGACAACAAGGAAGACATTTTACCCTGAGTCTCCAAATGCATGGAGAGTTAGCGCAGAGAAACCTCCTCCGAGGCTTCTCCACGTCACTCCCATGTGCTCCTAGTTCTTCAGTGGTTTTATTCACCAAATGGATGGGGGGAGAAGGCGGACCTTCTCAAGTTACAGAGGTACAGAGTTCTCTCAATTAACATCTTTGCTCAACCTTTTTATGAACAGCCAACACAGATTCATGATGTGTAATGGGCATCTTTTAGGTCTCAAACAGGTGCATTTATAAAAATACCCAACAGTGTGACTTGACTTGGACTCGCCCTCTAAAAACCCAAGACCTGACTCAGCCTTTATGTGCAAGGCTTATAGGCTAAAGCCTGGTTTATGTTTCTGCATCAGCTCCACGAGGGAGAGACCAGGACAACAGAGGGCGTAGCGCTGTTTTGGGGTATCCTGTCATGTATCTGGTCCAAGATATTTACTGTTGTGTTTATATTGTTTTTTTGTTTTTTTTTGTATTTCAGAGACTTCTTAACACTCATTCTCTTCCATCTCTTCATGCGCTCGCCACCTCTAAACCCACATTTCCTGTCATTTCCATCTAAGAGTAAAACACTTGCTGCATATCTCCTTACTCCTCCGGTGAAGGATGAAATAAAATTTTATATTTAGGAGGGTTTCTGCGAGGTGTTCTTCACGCTGCTCCACGCCTGTTGCTAGATATCGTAGGCCCTCTGCATTTTTTGAGGGCGCGATGGCGGTGCTGTTGACATGTTTAAAGGAAGCGGTATCCTGACTAATCACAAATGTGTGTTCTACATCTCTTTTGACAGGTGTTTAGAAAAGTGGGCTCGACTCCGTCTGTTTTTTGCGTGCATGTTGGAGAGCCCTCGAAACGACGGATAATGGTTCCGTATCGACGCAGGCGCATTAACTAGGCTTTAGAATGAGCTGGTTAGTAAGCCACAGAGAGGGAGTTAAACTCAAAAGCTCAAGCGGCTGCTTGATTGTGAAAAGAACACATCATGATTATTTTGTTCAATATTGATATCATGATTATTTTGTTCAATACTGATATCATGATTATTTGACATAATTAATCATCAGTCTGAGCTGCACATTTTTTCGGCTTAAAAGTGCCTCCTGCTGTGGCAGATCCATACAATTCTTCGTCTTCGTCTTCGTCTTCCTCCGCTTATCCGGGTCCGGGTCGCGGGGGCAGCATCCCAATTAGGGAGCTCCAGGCCGTCCTCTCCCCGGCCTTGTCCACCAGCTCCTCCGGCAGGACCCCAAGGCGTTCCCGGACCAGATTGGAGATGTAACCTCTCCAACGTGTCCTGGGTCGACCCGGGGGCCTTCTGCCGGCAGGACATGCCCGAAACACCTCCCCGGGGAGGCGTCCAGGAGGCATCCTGACCAGATGCCCAAACCACCTCAACTGGCTCCTTTCGATCCGGAGGAGCAGCGGTTCTACTCCGAGTCCCTCCCGAATGTCCGAGCTCCTCACCCTATCTCTAAGGCTGAGCCCGGCCACCCTACGGAGGAAACTCATTTCGGCCGCTTGTATCCGCGATCTCGTTCTTTCGGTCATTACCCAAAGCTCATGACCATAGGTGAGGATTGGGACGTAGATCGACCGGTAAATCGAGAGCCTGGCTTTCTGGCTCAGCTCCCTCTTCCCCACGACAGATCGGCTCAGCGTCCGCATCACTGCAGACGCCGAACCAATCCGCCTGTCGATCTCCCGATCCCTCCTACCCTCACTCGTGAACAAGACCCCGAGATACTTAAACTCCTCCACTTGAGGTAGGACCTCTCCCCCGATCCGGAGGTGGCAAGCCACCCTTTTCCGGTCGAGAACCATGGTCTCAGATTTGGAGGTGCTGATCCTCATCCCAGCCGCTTCACATTCGGCCGCGAACCTACCCAGCAAGAGCTGAAGGTCAGAGCTGGATGAAGCTAGGAGGACCACATCATCCGCAAAAAGCAGAGACGAGATTCTCCTGCCACCAAACTCGACACACTCCACACCACGGCTGCGTCTAGAAATTCTGTCCATAAAAGTGATGAACAGAACCGGTGACAAAGGGCAGCCCTGGCGGAGTCCAACCCTCACTGGGAACAGGTCCGACTTACTACCGGCTATGCGGACCAAACTCACGCTCCTCTGGTAAAGGGACTGAATGGCCCTTAACAGAAAGCCACCCACCCCATACTCCTGGAGCGTCCCCCACAGGATGCCCCTGGGGACACGGTCATAAGCCTTCTCCAAATCCACAAAGCACATGTGGATTGCTTGGGCAAACTCCCATGCCCCCTCCATCACCCTTGCAAGGGTATAGAGCTGGTCCACAGTTCCACGGCCAGGACGAAAACCACATTGCTCCTCCTCTATCTGAGATTCAACTATCGATCGGACCCTCCTCTCCAGTACCTTGGCGTAGACCTTTCCAGGGAGGCTGAGGAGTGTGATCCCCCTATAGTTGGAACACACCCTCAGGTCACCCTTCTTAAAGATGGGGACCACCACCCCGGTCTGCCACTCCCTAGGAACTGCCCCCGATGACCACGCAATGTTGTAGAGACGTGTCAACCATGACAGCCCTACAACATCCATAGCCTTGAGATACCCAGGACGAACCTCATCCGCCCCCGGGGCTCCGCCGCTGTGTAGTTGTTTGACTACCTCAGCAACTTCTGCCCCCGAGATCGGACAGTCCATCCCCAGGCCTCCCAGCTCTGGTTCCTCCTCGGAATGCGCATTGGTGGGATTGAGGAGCTCCTCAAAGTATTCCTTCCACCGTCCGACTATAGCCTCAGTTGACGTCAGCAGCTCCCCATCCCCACTGTAAACAGTGTGAGCGAGTTGCTGCCTTCCTCTCCTGAGGCGCCGGACAGTTTGCCAGAACCTCTTTGGAGCCGATCGATAGTCTTTCTCCATGGCCTCACCAAACTCCTCCCACGCCCGAGATTTTGCCTCGGCAACTGCCACTGCTGCACCCCGCTTGGCTATCCGGTACCTGTCTGCTGCCTCCGGAGACCCACAGACCAGCCACGCCCTGTAGGCCTCCTTCTTCAGCCTGACGGCTCCCCGAACCTCTGGTGTCCACCAGCGGGTACGGGGGTTGCCACCACGACTGGCACCGGCCACCTTACGACCACAGCTAGCAACAGCCGCCTCGACAATCGCAGAGTGGAACAAGGCCCACTCGGACTCAATGTCCCCCACTGCTCTCGGGACGTGGTCAAAGCTCTGCCAGAGGTGGGAGTTGAAGACCGTCTTGACAGGTTCTTCTGCCAGGCGTTCCCAGCAGACCCTCACTATGCGTTTGGGTCTGCCAGGTCTACGCGGCATGTTCCCTTGCCATCTGATCCAACTCACCACCAGGTGGTGATCAGTTGACAGCTACGCCCCTCTCTTCACTCGGGTGTCCAAAACATACGGCCGCAGGTCAGATGATACGACTACAAAATCTATCATCGACCTGTGACCTAGGCTGCCCTGGTACCAAGTGTACCGATGGGCATCCTTATGTTCGATTATGGTGTTCGTTATGGCCAAACTGCGGCTTGCACAGAAGTCCAATAACAAAACACCGCTCGAGTTCAGATTAGGTGGGCCGTTCCTCCCAATCACACCCCTCCAGGTCAAGCTGTCATTGCCCACGTGAGCATTGAAGTCCCCCAGCAGGACAATGGAGTCCCCTGATGGAGCACTATCTAGCACTCGTCCCAGGGACTCCAAAAAGGGTGGGTACTCTGAACTGATATTTGGCCCATAAGCACAAACAACAGTCAGGACCCGTTCCCCGACCCGAAGGCGCAAGGAAGCTACCCTCTTGTCCCCCGGGGTAAACCCCAACACACAGGCAGAGAGTCTCGGGGCTAACAAAAAGCCAACCCCAGCCC